TCACGGAGAGCAGTGCGGTTCAATCGTGGGAATCTGTTAATGATTCGTCAGCAGTAGGCAGAAGTTATCTGCTCAATCAGCAATTTGTTCTCAGCTACTAGTGAGCAGAGCGATACGTCATGGTGCAGTACACCTTACAACGTGTGTTTCTGTATGACATTTGTGTGAAACGCGGATCTGATACAAGGATCCGGCGGAAATTCTACGTAAGTTTCGTGATGAAAGAGTTCTCAGCGGACAATTTCCCAGATTTGATGAATAACCTTAGAACAACTGGGCTCTTAATAGACAAGAAAAACATAAGCACCGAGTGTTTACTGAGAAAAATTTAGATAACATAGGGGCCAGACTTGAACATACACCTAGAAAATCACTGAAATATCTAGCTCAAGAGATTGGAGTATCAACGTCTAGTGCACGAACGGCAACACAACTGCTGCAGCTTAGGCCCTATAAAACAACAGTAATCCAAGCACGCCTTGCAGCCGCGCGATCCAGGTAGCAGGGTTTGTTTCTCTAGTTGGTTTCTACAGTCTGTCGTCGAAGTTTAGATCGATCAGCAGTTCACATTCTTTTCTGAAGAAGTGTGGTTTCACTTGCAGCGATACATAAATACTCAAAATAATCGCTACTGGAATTCACAGAATCCAGTCCTAACCAACGAAGTCGCGTTCCATTCAACGAATGTTGATGTCTGGTGTGCTCAAAGTGCGTTTGTTGGACCTCTGTGAACAAAATTATCAGCAGTGATATTTGGCCAGCAGGTTCACACGGTCTTAATCCTTGCGGTTTTTTTCCTTCTGGGGTTCTTTGAAGGGCAAAATTTACAACAATAACCCCCGAACGGAAGAACTAAAAGAAAATATTCTTAGGGAAATTGCAAATATTCCGGCAGAACAGCTTCGAATGGTAAACCAGACCTCTTCCACAGGTGTGAGGAAAGTCTAAGTGTTGCAGATTTACCCTTCCCCCACCTTGATCATAAGCTAGTGGAATCACTTGATATTATATGAGCTAAAAGGGAAATCAAAGTAGATAGAAGGAACAAAGAACAGGTTGCATTTGCTAAGCTCAGCAATGCGCGGACAAAGAGACATATATTCTTATGTCCCTACATCCGGGCTTGTTTTCTGAAGAAGGGAGACAAAGATTGTAAGACCTCCCACTAAGTCCTTTAGGAATGTCAGAAGTCGAAGTTAGTCGGGGAACTCTGGAAAATTTAGCGGGCTGACAGTTATAGCCAGCTATAACTTATGGGGTAGGACGGCCAGAGAGTCGTTACCATACCCCAATCTTACTCTACTGTCAACTGTGCCGTTTTGTCTTTAGGGGGCTAAAATCCCTTGAAGTTAGGACGTCATTGGCAGAAACCAAATTCACGCCAACTCCCCCTATTCAGATTTAACCAGGGAAATTTAAAGAAGAGGAGATAGGGTGGAGCGACATCAGGAGAGATTTCTAGCTCATTACAGGAGTCAGTCAGAAAAAGTCAGTCGTTAACTAACCTTTGAAATTACCGGACACCAAAGCTGCGACGTCCCAGTAGAATTTCTAAGTTTCTTAGAAGTCCAAGATTGTATATCTGGCACGGCGAGGACAGTGAATAACTCTCTTCGTGCACAGTAAACACCAACCAGCTATATGACCGGTAGGCCGCAAAGTGTCTGTGAAACACGAAGCGAGGGCAGTGAATATCCCTCATAGTGCACAGTAAACACCAACCAGCTAACAAAGTGTCTGTGAAACACGAAGCGAGGGCAGTTCCACTCGCAACTCCGAGCAGTGTAAAAGTTTTGTTGTAGCTAGGTACTAGGCCGAGTGCCTAATCAGTGTTTGTGAAAGTTTGCAACGGTGACCCAAAGCTAACTGAGGGTATGTGCTAAGTGATCAACCAATAAAGTGTTCATGTACTGTGCATTTGTGTTTGCCAAGTCGCTTCTCCTTCCTCGTCCGAGCCCGACACGCATTCGCCCTGAGGAGAGACTCAGCTCTACCGATCTAATCGGATCCACCCTAAGCTCCCTCAGACTCCCCTCAACAGCTTCTACCCGAATTAGCGAACAGCTCTAGCGGTTCTCTGGCGTCCAATCACCACCAGGGATTCCACTCAAGCATCCGAAACCCGAAAACCCCAAGATAGAAGCGGTGGCGCCTGGTCAGACCGGACACAGCGTAGACCAAGTCAACTTCAGCGGCAGTAGTAAAGTATGACAGCGTGAGAGTGGCCTGGTAAGTCCCTCTTGTCCTTGTACTACCCATCTGAATCCTTCCCACGCCACACCCCCAAAGGAAAGCAAAGGGAGGGACGGCGAGAGCTGTGACCTGCAAACAAGTGTTAGAACTTCCCTTCATTCTGAAACCTATCGGCCGTCAGGCATGCTGATTCATCGGCAAAATTCATATGCGCTTCTCAGCAAGCTGTGCACGGCCGCCTTGAAGCACAGGACAGTGGAATCGGCCGACAAAGTAAAAATCCTCCCTGTGTATCCCTTAGGAGAATCCGCAACCCTGCACTCCGAGAGTGCCCGCAGTGGGTACAGTATGCATCGGTACAAAATTTGGTCATTTATTTCAAATTCTCCACAAACCAATGAAAGCGCGACCATTATTTCACTCGTCATGATAATATGCATTCTCATCAGAGATAAGAGACAGATTCAATTTATTCTAAATGTCTGTACCTTTGCCCATCCTCTTTCTTTTCTTCGGATTACAATCAGATCTAATGTCCTTCTCTCTTCTTTCTTCAAAGCCTCTTTTTTCTTCAGCTCTTTCTTAATTTAAAACCCTTCAAGCTGCTTCATTCATTCATCAGTAATCTGTCAGATGACAGGTCCACAGCCTCTTCCAAAACAGTTTCTCCACTTAATGCGATCTTCTGTTTTTGGAAAGAGACTATTCACGAATAGTGATAATGTGGTAGTTTTTCCATTTGCTTTCCACATCGCAGTTCAAACCACTCTGGGCACGCCTGTTGCTATACGAACTTGAACCATCTCGAGCATTATTTTCTCTGTGCTTCAAGTCGCCGCTGATGACGCTGCTTCTGGCATCAGTTTTCGGTGTCTCTCTTCGTCTGATGCCTACCCTTTGACCTGTCCAGCAAGGGAGGCCCTGCCAGTAGCTACGCTACCGCTGGTATAGCTCTCAGGGTCCACGAGGGGCAAGCTGCTTATGGGAGTCCAAATTTGAATTTCAGAATGTTGCTTAGGTTCATCCTCCGGCGAATTTTTGGTATGTTGAGGTTTTGGATTTGGGGAAGTATCAGTGAGACAGCCCTAAATGTGCCCGGTGCGGTTCATCTGGTATGTCAGCTTCACATCCTTCAGTTATCTTCTATCAAATCGTCAGATCCCAAAGTTCCTTCTGCTGACCGTTCTTCTTTGTTTATTATTTGAAACCCTGGACGCATCCTGACTAAACTCCAGTAAATGTATCCGGATTCAGAGGCAAAATACCTATAGCTCTGGAATTTTATATGACCTTCTGCATTGTAGCTGTTTTGAAGTAGGCTGTATTAGGCAAGTCTGCCAGTTTAAAATGACTAATTCTTTCATGTCCATGGATTTCTACTGGTAGATATAGGTCACATTCTCTGTTAAGTGTCATCTTAAAGAGGTTGTGAATTTGCAGTCAACATGAAGTCGAATGATAACCTAACTATCCNGCCGGTGCGGTTCGTCAGCTTCACATCCTGCAGTTATCTTCTATCAAATCGTCAGATCCCAAAGTTACTTCTGCTGACCGTTCTTCTTTGTTTATTATTTGAAACCCTGGACGCATCCTGACTAAACTCCAGTAAATGTATCCGGATTCAGAGGCAAAATACCTATAGCTCTGGAATTTTATATGACCTTCTGCATTGTAGCTGTTTTGAAGTAGGCTGTATTAGGCAAGTCTGCCAGTTTAAAATGACTAATTCTTTCATGTCCATGGATTTCTACTGGTAGATATAGGTCACATTCTCTGTTAAGTGTCATCTTAAAGAGGTTGTGAATTTGCAGTCAACATGAAGTCGAATGATAACCTAACTATCCCACTATTCTTGCAATAATTATGTATGTGAAGGGAAATACGCCTTGTGTGGATGTTCAGCATTAATAATACAGCCTTATCCTTAGAATCTTTGGTAAATTTCTTTAAAGAAGCAGCAATTTGAGGAACAATTTCTCACTAATCCACCAATTTTTAGAAAAAGAGTAAAGGGCTTCAACTGAACCATTTTCTTACAATTGTGGAATATTCACTTGCTGGGAAGTATTAATATTGGTGGAAACACGAAAAGTGTATGATATAATAATTATATGTCGGCAGACTTAGCGACAGCATGGCGTGTATACACGAATATAAAGCGACCCCTTATTTCTACAATAAAAATCAGTTTTTTACAAGACTAAATATACAGTTTAGTTCTACGAGTTGTGAGCAAAACGATGTAAAATCTACACTATTAAGAAGTAATGAATTCAAAATTTCATACCTTAAATATAATTCTAGGTTTTTCACTGATATCATTAGAATTCCTACTTAGAAATTCTCTTAATCTTTACTTCATTTTTATTCCTAATGAGCCGAAAATGACAAGGCCCCATTTCTCTATGAAACAGTTTTAATAAGCCTTATATTCAAGCTAATGTTATATTTTGCTTACGAAGAATTACGAGCTGAGAACTGTGTGTAGTCAAGTGGCAGTACGAAGAGGTAATGTATTGCAGCACGAAGAAGAAAGCAGCATTAAAATCATGCAGATATTACAACAAATTGCTCGTTTCTGAAACAGTGTGAGTTAATTTTGTATAATCACCACATGCGTAACATTGCCCTACAGGAAATGCGCAGAATTATCCCAGCATCTGCTTTTCGTTAACGCGACGGTAATGAAACAACAGTTTCATCTGATTTCATGTCTAACTAAAGCTTTGAATGACACTTCCGTGGTGCGAGTAGAAATACGCTAAATAAACAATGAACTGTACTTGCCATAGAAGAATATTGCAGCAAATGTTCCAGCCAAGTTGACGAAACGTAACGTTACTCTCCGCTTCTCGCGCACTAAACTAAAATGGAGCCAAACCACAGTCCCTTTGTTTCTGCTGTCGGCCTCTATACAGCGCCAATCTCAAGAACTATGTATTTACTACACGTTTTAAGAAAATTGACTACGTAGAAGTAACCTCTGCACAAAATTCGACCACTTTCCCCTACTCTTTCTCATTCCATCTCTCCCCCTCGTGTAACAGTGACTGCAGTATTGCCAACAGTCTCACTTTATTTTATTTATGGTTTATTTAACGACGCTGTTAGTAGCTCGTGGCCACGCAGTCTAAAGCCTAATTCACACGGGGATAGTTTACAGCAGTCAAGAGCTTGAAGCAAGTCGACCTTCCTTCTGCTTTCACCGTTTGAATTGATGGAGACAGTGAAGTTGTAACTTTCTGTTCAAGCAGAATTTGAGTTGCCGATCCTTCAAATTTCCCGTCACGTAATCATCTTGGCTGCAGCACATTTCTGACCCTTCTTGTATGAATGCTGACTTGTAACAAATTATCACTTGCAAGCTGAGAGTGTCTCTTAGTTTGTAATAATTAGGCCTGTGTTTTGAAAATAATTTCCGGGTGTGTTTTAGTGTGTTAGTATTTATGTTTTGATATTACAATCAGCGCCACAAGTTGGAATATAAATGAAATAGTTAAATTCTTGGACTTGTATGAGACATACGAAATGTTAACGTAATATTCCTCGTGAAGATTACATGAACAAAAACAAAAGAGAATTGTTCGAGAAGCTGATGCTGGAACTGAGGGAACAAGGATTTGAAAACACTGACGTGGAATTAATGCGTAAGAAACTGAAAACGATCAAAACTGTGTACAGACGCAAACTGTCAAAATTTACGAAATCGAAAAAGAGTTGTGCTGGTACCGATGACCAGTACAAGCCAAAATTGGCCTGGCCTGAGAAGACTGATTCATTTTTGGGAGGCGTTACTGCGACCAGAACGTCTACTTCAACTTTGGTAAGTATATTTAACACATCTTTATGATTATTTCAAATTTCTTTCAAAATCAGAGATAAAGAGGTAATTTGATCTTACTGTTTCACTATTGCAGCAAAGCCCCGACTATCTCATATTCAGTTTTATCCGATATAGGTGTACTACGTAAACAAAGTTCACATAGAACTTAGAAAGTTTATAATGAAATGTTTGTGTTTGTCTTTCATTTGTTATAAATTATACATAGATTTTATTAGAGAATTGCTTGATTGTATTAGCAAGATAATTTGACACAACTCTGTATTTAGGCTGCGGCCTCAAATGGATGTGATGGAACAAGAAATTGACATATAGAATGCATTGTTCTTTGGTAGTCTTGTTGTATTGAGTATTTAAAATTTTGACGATGATGACTATCTGATTATATATGTATATTCACATGTTATATTGTATTGCTGACTTGTTCTATATCTGAGGCAGACGCCTCCATGGATTTTGTAGAACTGCAAATAAATAAATGAATGAAGTGAATGAATTAAAAAAGTGTGTAATGATATGTTTTATACTTTGTATTGTAATCTGTTTCTAATAGATTGGATAGATGGGGTTTTACTATATGAAGTTAGTAAAATGAAGAAGAGTTTATCATAGAATTATATGTCACTTATTCATTCATTTGTGTTGTTTGCACATTAAAAGTAAGACACAGCATTAAAAAATAATCAAGAAGTCAAATAGACTTTACATATGACAGTATTCATCCCTAGTCTTCAGCACCAGTCATTTTCATCTGCCAAAACACTGCACCCTCTTCCATAAAGTGACTGGCATACTAGTCCCTTAATAACGATGCAGGACTGGAATAATTGTTTGAACATAGGCAACTCATGGTTGATAGCTCTATCACTTTATTATGCCATGATCCTGGTATTATTAATGTCATGACCCTCAATATCCACACATCCTGAAGGAAAATAACGTTTGGATGATGTAATTTGAAGCCAGTCATGAAGTACAAATGAGGATTTCACTATTTAATCCATGGTTTTTACCTTCACTTCTACAGGCCTTCCAAAAACTCTAAATCCTGAGACAAGGATTCCAAAAGAATTTCCCACCACTCTTCTTGCTCATGAAAGCCTGCAGTTAAATCCCTTCTGTTCTAGCATGAGATTAATATGTCTGTAAATTTTCAATAAATTGGTTCTCAGAGGAAATGCATCTGAATTAGGTGGTAATTTCAGTTCATCATTTTCCATTGACATATTTAGGGTGGATTCCAGGAATATGGTGCTATCACTGACTCTTTTGTTTCTTCCATCATCAATGTATTGAAAACAATAGCCACCATCAACCAAAGCAAACAATAAAATACTGCAGGTCCCTTAGTAGTTACAAAATTCTGAACAACTTCTGCGTTTATATGCTTGCCATTGAGTGCTGCACAACAGTGGAGTCATAAATTCAGTCTGAATCTCTTCCCATTCAGCCTGTGATGCAGGAACCTAAAAAGAATTAGAAAATAACATTAGGTTAAATAATAATAATAATTCACTGCAGGAGCTGTTGGACACCGACCCACAGGAAGACCCTGATGGAGAGGTGCATTCGCCTCGTGACAAGGCAGTAGCATGTTCATCTCAGAATGGAGCTACTAGAACAGTGCCTCCACCAATGCCACCTATCTCAAAGAGAAATAAGACTTCTAGTATCTGCTTTGTGAATGAGGTGATTACAAATCTCAAACATACAATGAACAAGAATAGTGAAGATGAACTTCAACAGTTTGCGGATCATATAGCAGCCCAATTAAGACAACTGCCTCTCCAAAATTCCTTAGTGCTGCAAGAAAAGATACAAAATTTAATTACAAGGGAGAGAATTTCGCACATGACACCCTCTTCACCTCTGCACGTTAAGATTCCCCAAGATGTCATCTGTCTATCGTCAACACCGTTGAGTGATCAATTAGATACTGAAAACAGATATTCTTCAGGAAGCCACTATATCCATTAATTCGGAAGACTTCAGATGAATGAATCTTAAAATGCCTACAAGTAGGTACTGGACAAAGTGATAAAAGAAGAATGTAGTATTTTATTAATTAGACCTTTTATTATATCATTATTATGAGCATTAATAAAGTAAAGAAATATCTGCCTGTCTATTATTAATGTGTAATGTATGTCTAATAAATGTAATTACTTTCAGATATATACTAACTCACTTTTATATATGAGCGTAGGCAGTTAAATATTGCAGTCAGGACCTATTGTGTTAGCTGGTACTCTATACAGATGGTGCTATCACCGCTTGCCAGATAACATAATGATATTTCAACCTTTGTACAGATCTACAAAACTACATGGAATCATAACCCAGAACAATGTAATCTTAAAAACACATTCCTTGCTATTCCTTTTTTGGGCCTACTGCTAATAGATTTTAGAAGAACTGAAATTAAATCTTTCACGCTTATTTCTGTATGTCTTTCGGTCATTAAACACTTCTAGCTGCATTTAAATATCAATGTATACTGCGGCAATGTTATATTTACAGTGTAAACTATGTAGATCTTGTGTTTAGATCCAAGACAGGCACTGATGTCAAAATCTACACTGCTTTTGGTGCGGATGCCAAATTTCTTTGCAGTTTCAGTGCTTCATGCTGATTCTAACCTTCTACAAACAGTGTAAAACACATACAAACAACATTCTTTTTCCAGTTCAAAATTCATAATATCTCACAAACATAAAATATACAGGGATCCAGCTTCTGACCTTATGTATGTGTTGCTAAATGACTAGGCCCATCAGAATGAAATTTTAATAGTTTACAATCCAAGCTTTGGTAGCAAGCATTACCCAAATTCAATCACATCTTAATTTCCTCCTGAATCAGGTTTTGATTTGTTAGAGTCCCCAAATATCTGAACTGTGCCACATTGTCAAATGATGTACTAGGCATCGTTATGTCATGATTTTATCCTGCATTCTGGTAGCAAGACAGCAACATTTACTTAGTTTTCTCTGTGTTTACTTCTAGACAAACCTCCTGACCAACGCCAATTAAAGTTTGTGTGTTTTTCTTTATGATATCTATATTATCACCCAGTAGATTCACATCATCAGCATAAACCAACAGCTGATGTTTCCCGTTTAATATCAGTCCCACCTGGTTTTTCTGGACCTTCCTAATGGCATATTCCAAAGCAAAGTTGAAAAGCAGTGGCAGTAAAGAATCTCCTTGTTTTAGACCATTCTGGATAGGAAAATTATCAGATAAATGTTTTCCTATGCAGACTTTCTATACATTTCGCTTAAACACATTTTAATCAGCCTAACTAGTTCCATGGGTGCACCAAACTCTTATCAGAATGTTGTACAATACTTCCCTTCTAACTAAATCACAGGCTTTCTTGAAGTCTACAAGTAGCTGATCTACTGTTTAATTTCTTGATATTGAACCTCCATATGAACTCTATGCAGTTCAGACTCTGACAGTCTCTCCTAAACTTTTGCCAACATAAGGAAAACTGTTTTTTTAACCTCTTATAATAAGGAAAACTGCTTCTAATGAAGTACTCTTTAATGAGTTATCAAAGAAGAAAACCAACTAAAGGATACCACAGTTGCCAAGGAACAAACTGTTATTTATTATATGTGGATATGCTGTCAACATGGCGACTACCTTGGAAACTTCTGCTGTGGGATCAACACTTGACAACACTCAGACTAAATTCTTAAAACACTGCCTTAAGTCATACTGATTCTTGAAGTAATGCAAGAAGAGAGCCACACCAGCTAACATGTTTCAATACAAGTATGCAAACCCCTTTGCCACAGGGAGATGAGACTCAAATTCTAGTTTTGAAAATGGACTGACTGTGAAGAGATAAACACAGTACACAGTAACACAGTATTTCACTGTGAACTCAAGGTTGATGTTTATGTTTCTGTTTTCAAAGTGTAAGTTGCACAAACTAAAACAATTCTATAAAAGAGAGTCTTTCCAGAGAAGCTAATAGTTTCTTAGCTGCTCAGGAAATTTCCTGTCTTTTTATGGAACCTGAAAACTGATTACAGTGTTCACAAGAACCCAACATTTGCACCCTACCCTAAGCCATATGAATCCAGTTAACATTATAACCTCTATTTCAGTCAAAATTAACTGGAAACAAAATGCTGTACTACAAAGATCAATTACTTGGACATTATCCATCATCATAATTTTTATTTAAAATTATGTTTTGAAGACTGAACTCTGTCCCCGTCTTCAGTTAAAAAGCTCAATCAGTTGGGCCCAATCGGTAGATCTAATTCCTATCTCCAGTTCAGTACGGTATTAATATATCATCATTACAAATTTTTAAATCATGAAAACATATAGCCTTATACATTTTCTATAACTGAGGTGCAATGCTTTGCACAATTTCTTCAAGTGCTCTCATAATTAGAATTAAGTCTAATCCTTCAGAAGCCTAAAACTAAAACATTTTTATTATCAGTGATCAATATCATAGATAAGTTTTCAGCTTTTCATGGTGGTGAATGTTCAGATTGTAATCTCACTTTGTAGTGTTGTAAATGGATACCAACATTTTGAAGGTACATCCCTGCTTCTATTTCCATCCACATGCAGATGGAGGTAGCACATTCATCTCAAGTTGGGTTCCTGTTTGAAAGATGACACTGTGTCAGAACCCAGAACACCACAGTCTGAATCACTGTCAGAGTCTTCAGTGGTTCAGATATTAGTTTAGTGACAATGGGTAGTACTGATATATATTATATTATCCATAATTACTGGTTTTGAAAATATAAACTCTGCAGTTGATATTATCACTAAGTTTAGTAAGAAACACACATTTGCAAGAGGCAGCTGAGATACTTTAATACCTGCATTAACCCTGGATGGGTCAACAGAGGTAAGCTTGATGACTGAAAAGGTTGTTAGTTTCTTTTCAAATAAAGTACTGTAATATCACATAGTAAGAATATATGCAATAGTTTATTACTGTAGTTATTTCATACTTCAAGAGCAAATTTTGAGATGTCAACATTTAGAAAATATCTCTTTGGTTTCACATAGAAGCTTCTTGTAACGGAAGATACAGACAACAAAATACTCGTAGATACATGGAGACAGAGACATTTTGTCTAAGTGCATAATATTCTGATAGTTTATTTATTATCAAATAAATGCAATTCATATCACAGAATGTAAATTTAAATTGGTATTAAAATTTCTAACAAAATACATTCATGAACAACAGCATTTATTCTACTCAGCACATTGGCTTCCTTTCTCAAATTATTTTTGCTACATTTCTAGACAAAATGTTTCAGTCTATATGTATAATACTCATGTTGGGATCACCATAAATGAAAACCTTCATGACAATATAATAATTCATCAATATTAATTAGAATTACCATCATTTGTTAGAATGAGTGAAAATTTCACTGTATATATTTGTTCATACTGAATGATATAGTAAAATATGTCATAAAACTGTTACCTGATCTCTATCCACATTACTTTAAAGAGTTTAAAACTTATCACTTTCGATACCATCAAATGTCATGATTGTATACAACTTTTTCACTGTTGAATTTTTTCCTTCAGCCAAATGTAGAAAAAATGATCCATAAGAAAGGACACAAGAGACCACTTAAATAGCTGTCAGGCTGAATTGGAAGTTACATTTCACTTACACATATATGTTCTCTTTTGTTTCAAAGGCTAACATTAATGATATATGGATTTCAAAAAATTTACAATCAGATATAATATACACTGTTAGTTTATAATTTTCCACATTAAGCCTTGGAAGGAATGATATGAGCTCTTGAAAATGGCCTAGCTATCACATTCAGAAGATGCACACACAAACATAACTTCATATCACAATAACTTACATTCACACATATATACATCAACACAGAAATTGACACCTATTAGTCAGTCTTTCCACTTGTCTTCACTGTGTGCTGCATCATGATCACGTCTTGTATTCGGTGAATGCCACATTTCTCCTTTTCTTTCCAGAATTTGTAGTTATGCTGCATGTTCTGTAGTAATTCTGGCATTTCGATGAATGCTGTTAATATGGGAGAAAACGTGTAATGAATGACCTCCATCTATTTCATCACAATAAACATGAAGTTTTATGCATCATATATGAGTATGTTACTTTTATGTGTTATTTTATATCTAATATATATATATATATATATGTAACTTTCCTATCCATTTTTTGTTTTCTACTACAGACTTATCAGAAAACAGACACCAAAAATAATACTAAATTTAATCTGTACTTTTGCCAACAACAATGGAAGCCATAAATTTTAAAGTGATATACTAGATTGTGGCAGAGTTTCTATATGTGATTCAGATACTCATTAACAATCTTCTTTTTAATTGCATGTGTAGACTTTAACTTCTTTATTTCAGAGTTATTACCTTTTTACAGATTTTGGCTATTGCACTATTTTTACACTTGTAGGAAAGGCCATTCTGTTTCAGATGATGAATGAGTACATCTGTTTGCTTTTTATATACTCAAATCAAATTCTGTTGAAATATTTTTCCAAGGGAACTGGAATTACTGACACAAAATGGTGATATATGAGAACAGAGAATTTCTGCAAATGGGAGGAGTCCAAGGCAGTAGATTAGTAAAATGTCTATCACTTGGACCTCTGTTGGTCTGTTTCTGGACAAGGATGCTGGGCCCCCAAGAAACAAACTCTGTTCACAAACATAACCTATATTCATGGAGTTCACCACTTGTAACAGTCCCTGACAACACAGAATATGACAGTTACTGAATCTAGTTAATTGTAATTACTGAATTGTCAGCACAAAATTGAGAAACAATCTCCAACTTGATTTCAACGATGATTTTTAGTTCTTGAACTTTGAGAATTTTCAGATAATTTATTTTTTTTTTTGCATAGTAGCATGTTGATATATCAGAATCATACTGGTTAGCAATGCTAGCAAGAATCAACTTGCCAACGAAATCTGTCTTTCCCTCTCTCTAACTGCAATCCTTCTCTGTTTCTGAAAATGGTGTCAGCATATATCAAAAGTGAAAAACAGTACATTCTAGCAGATTGTGGAAAAGTGGCTAATATGAAAGTTGTAATTAGAGTAATAAAAAATCGATGAAATAAGCAAAATCCTTATTCTTGTCTTGATTCTTGAAATTAAAAATTCATTCTCACACAGTAATATCTGAAATATTTTCAATATATCTTGCCTTGCCAAAGATGACTACCTGAATAGACTTTATTTCATTCATTCAGGATGAAAGCTTAAAATCTTATAATATACTGTGGAAATTATCTAAATTCCTGTTCAGACCAGCAACAGGAGTCCCTGGGTAGGGATTCATAACATCACAAGGCACTGTGTCATCACAGAGAAAAATATTACATGTTAAGTAAATAAACACACCTTCCCATGTTTCAAACATATCATTGATGATGAAATCCATAAACCCTATTTGGGATTTCGGTATTGAGCATGTTGCACGGTCAAACAATGGCATCACAACAGGTAGGTTGTTTGCCTTCTCTTCATCTGTCTGTGGAGCAAGAAGTTTCAATCATATATCTAGACAAAATTTATATGAGACTCAATGTGAACTACATCTGCTAGTAAATATGTAAGAACAACTGCACAATAAAAGTAAAAGTTGTTTTCAATTACAAGTAACCACTTTCAAACACAGCTGACTAATGGAGCTATTCTAACAAATCAACTCTAATTTATACTCATGTTGGGAATCAATGCACTACCCAAGAAATATGAAAATGGCTGAATATACAAAAGGACAAAATGGAGCAACCATATTTCATGAATGGCACCAAAATGGATTACATATGTACGAAGAAACAACTGCTAAAGGCTGGAGTCTTGGATAATTATATAAAAGGTAGTGAGATTGACACTAAGGGAAACAGGGCCATAGCAAGGAGGAGGTGGAGGAGGAGACATTTGTAGTTGGTACGGGAGCATCAGAATGGCGACCACCATACAACATGAACATATACAAATTCTACTGTCAACACAACAAATGTTTATTAACATACATGTTTCAACCGTAACAGGCCATCCTCAGGTGCTGCAAGCCTCACACACTCAACCACTGAACTGCAAGCCTCACATTCCCATTTATATACATATGGTTCATAAACAGTTACTTTTTATATTCAGTTCATCAACTGTACCTGACTAGTCTTAGAGATTGATTGAAACAAGAATCACACATCTGATAAAATAGTAAAAACAACAATTAGTTTAAAACTAATTTAGCAATTAGGTTAGAAATAAATCTAAAATTAATTTTTTAAAACATCGTGAGCTGTGATGAACTTCATGTCTGTTGTTGTAGTGGACCACACATAGCCTTCACCAGATTCTTCTATTACTTGCTGTGTTAACTTGTTGTGTTGCTATCTTATGTTAACTACTTCTAGAGAATGAACTCCTCCTCTTTCATATTGTCGGATGCCAATTTACGGTTAATGTTGTGGTGTCTATGGGTTGTACTGTGCTGTGTGGTTTATATATCATATGTATATAAATGGGAATGTGAGGGTTGCAGTTCAGTGGCCAAGTGTGTGAGACTTGCAGCACCTAAGGATGGCCCTTTAGGATCAAAACGTGTAGTGCTACACATATATGTTAACAAACAATTGTTGTGTTGACAGCAGAATTTGTATATGTTGATTGTATACACACAACAGGATGCAAACTTAAAAAAAAAAAGCCCTACAAGATATTTCAACAAGCAGATGCAGGGTAATCTGTGAAACCCATACATGAAAGCATAATAATTATGGTAGAAAATAATGAAAACCATAATGTTGTATGCTATTTCTCTTCCACAGTTTTAATACTTTTATAAATACCACAGTTGAGTAAACTTCACATATTTCTTTTTCCATGACAAAGCATAACTGATGCAGGTATACCAAGAGAGTATTAATATTATAAAAATTTCAGACAGTCCAAAACAAGGCTGTATTTGTAGCAACTTGTGGATTTTAGTCTGAAACTGTAAATATCTAACTATGCAAGATTCATTTGCTACTCAGCCAAAGAACAATCGGTTACTACTATCTTTTCCATTGTCATCACCATCACGATCATCATGTTCATGGATGAGGTACTTTTCCTATTATGTTTCTGAATGTATTTTTTTTTATTTCAAAACATATAAAATGTAACTCTCCCAAGTCATTGTGCCCATGAGGCTTCAAGGTTGTGCCTTCTTTTGGCATGTTACTCATACCACAATACAATAGTTCTGGAATTCAGGAATTTTTCTTCATTCCCAAATGTTCAACACATCTTATTGGATACTGTCTTAATCTTATGTTGACACCAGCTACCTGCATTTATTTTCATACCTTGATGGCCTAGATGGCAAGACACTACAAGCATGTGTTGGGGTTGTCTTAAATTACTGAATAAGTACATACGGGTCAACTGGGAGTTCAGTACTTGCAACTCTGAGTTATATTTACTTTATTTATTTACTTACGAGTATGTCTTATTTAATGATGCCATCATTAACTCATGCTGTATAGTGTTGAATGGTGAAATGATCAGTAAGTGATAAACTGGATAGGATTTGGAAGGAACAGGTTGTGGCCTATTTCAACGTTGGCATTCATCTGGGCACCTTCTGAATACAAGTCTGAAAGCATTACTGCCTGAGAAAACTTGCTTGGTTCCAGGGGCTATAAATATGGAATAAGGCCTTGGATGGTATCTCCAACACTGAACTGCTGGCTGTATAGACTAGGGATTCTGTACAATTTGAAGCATCCCATATAATAAGAACTGGACAGATAAAACAGAGCATGTTTACATATATAAAAATAAGAATAATACAGAAAACACTGAATTGTATATTAATCCATATACCAGATGAGACATAAATGTTCCATATTTCAATAACAAAATACCTGATTGAAGTATTCTTCAGCGATCCTGACAGCCCATTCCACACACATCCTCAGAGGACGTGTTGGATTTGACACATCTGCACACTTAATGAGCATTCTCTTGATCAATGTAATATTTTCAGGAGCAGTCAATATGCCTATATCGGGAGAACTTCGTCCACCCTATGACACAAACAGCATAAATATCATGAAAATATCAATTGTCACGAGTCTATTAACACTGCCTTGTGCTTCCTTTTAAATGGCACACTGCATATTCTTATAACCATGTTTGATGACTGCTCTGAAGATGCCAAACAGTCAAAGCCATCAGGCAGAGTCTATACTGTAACATTATGCTGTAGCATAATATTTTTAGGGACTATGATATATTGCAATCTCATACAACAAATCTGTGATATTATAAGAGACAACAATCACAATATTTAATTCAAATATCAGTCATAATATGTAAAATCCTAAGATTTCTATTCTGCCCTTATTCTTTCATAATAAATAAACAACTGCTGTTAGTAGTTATGGACAGGTTACATGGTGGCAGAGAACAGCAGTGAGAAGTAGCAATACATCATGCAATGATTTTATGCAAAACTTTGGTAAATATTCCCTCACATCTTAAAAAGTATTAAATTATTACTCACATAATATTTCTTGGTTTCAGTACATAGGAACAGCAAGACAGCAACCACATATTAGTATGTGACCCCCACACCCCCCCACCCCTCATCATATCAACACAGGTTTCTGGAACGTTGCACATACCTAAGCACAACTAGCTAGTTTTTTTTTTAATATATTGTACAATTAATACTTTTATACCTTTTTATATTTTTATACTTTTCATGTTCTTCATATCATAACGAATTTTATAAGAACATTAAATTGCCAAACTGTGCTCAATATGTAAATATATTGTGACATATTGCGCTATGCAGGACATCCCTCCCACCGCCAGCGGTGACGTAACACCATTGGATCGCTGTCGTTACTAAGGTAACAGGCAAGTCAACACTCCTCTGCCTACCCTGCCAGCGGTGACGTAACATGGGATGCCGCAGTTGCCACTCAACAGTAAACAACTCCCGACAGCGCTGTTAGGCTGTCGGCAAACACGGCGTCAGACAACAGTGGTGCCTGTTACGTAACTGTTTTCTGTGTTGTCGGTAGCGGGACTAAATAAGGAGCAGCGAAGGCTATTCAAGTTAGTTACGAGTTACAAGTTGGCCAAGGAAGAGTATGCAATCAAGTAATTGTAATACTGCAGATAGCAGTAGTCGTCAGATTGTAAACTGTGTGATTGTATGAGCGAGTGTGGAATAAAATTCGCTATATCAAATACAGCATGAAGTTATTTGTCGCGTGACCTACCCAACACGTGACAATTTGTTGTCAGAAGTTGGATTGGACTTACACACGTGACCCACAAGATTCGAACTTAAGACACGTGATAATATATTTGCTTGCAACACAGCAATCAGTTGCAGGAATAGTGATCGCTATCATGACCATAAATTTTAATTACTTGAGTTATCTTCATAGGTGTCTGATGATAACCTAAACTGTATGGTGGAAACACACAGCATAAGTTATTATTACATTAAACAAAAAATATATACCAACATTTGTCATCTTCATTGAAGATATCCCCACTTTGTTGTGACAACGGTTATAATAAAAGTATTTTAATATTTGCATCAGAATAAAGCTTAAACGTTAGAAGCTGATAAGTTTGTTGAAACTAAAACTAAATTTAAGTATGACTGTAAAATCACTGTCAATAATGAATGAATTGTTCTAGGGAAAGTGGTTGGTGTCCTCAGTCCCCATTTCATACATAAATCATAATGTGCTGGCTTACAAATGTTTCGGTAATGTAATATTTGTGTTCTTATTAGAATTTCCAGATATATTTCATTAGTTGTATCAGAATGAAAGTTAAAAAGGAACCTGAGGATGATATTCACAGTAAATAAGAAGTGAATATTAGTGACATGCAACAGAATGCTGCAGTACAACACTGAGGTGGTGTTTTGTGTTTCATTGTGTTCACAAGTCAGGTTTCCTATTACAAGACAATAAGATACTCAAGAATTAAACTGTGAAACTATTTCTCTAGTACGAGTAACAGTATCAAAGGCACAACATTCAAACCTGTCACTGGAACCTATTCTGAACCAATTCAATCTCTTTCCTGACTTCACAACCTACTGCAGTTCACCTGTAGCAGTGTCACACTTTCATAGCAATCACATCTGTTCAGGCAAGAACCTTCTGCTTGTGAATGGAAACATTTGTCTGCCAAGTGTTGACACACTTTAATTCCCTAACATCTGACACAGGAGAAGATTATATTCTTTTTTTAACTTGCTAGAAGTAAGAACTGTAAAATAATATCAGTCTAGCTCTACATGCCTCCAAAAATCATCTCTATATTATTCTTCAACCTCATCCTTGCTTACCTTAGTGGTCACTTCCAAAATTCTGTATGTATTTCATGTCTCCCTCTCTGGCTTCAAGAGTAAACCAAGGGTTGCAGCTTCGTATCCACATTTTTTAATTCATCTGTGTATGACCTATTTTAATGTAACATGCAACTGGACAAAAACTGGACCTTCTCGCCCTCAAGGCTCAAACTTCTGAGTACTTATCCCCAACATTAAGAAAGATCTATATTTTAGAGGAACATACTGTAACCTGTGGTACTGTTGCTACACAGTGATCAAAAGAAAGAACACGTGCTGCTTTGTAACAACTTGGTAAACATGTTCCCCCACAGAAATGAGACATAACAATACAGTTACAATGGAAATTGGGGTGTTTTCTATTGGGTCTGCCCCAAGGATATATAGTGAGGATCCCAGGCCAGCTGAGTGCATTTCAGTTGAGTGAAGAGAATTGAAGTAGTTGGTTGGCAAGTCAGAGAGTTCAGTTGTCAGTTCTCAGTTGAAAGTCAGCCTGTGAAGAGGAGACTAGAAGGTTGGTGTGAAATGGCCACCAGCCAGGGACCCAGTTAAATGAATAAATGTATGAGGGGTAGGCCTTCTCCGCCCTAGCACCGTGACCTACAGTGGTCTATTGTGCTTACGGACCCAGTTAGTTGAGGGCTGGCAGTTCAGTGAACTCTTCAAGGGAAGCTGAGAAGAGATGGTGCTAAAGTTGAGTTGACAGTTCACAAGAGTTCAGCTGTGGGACATTTGTCAGATAGTATTAATGTGAGTGCAGGAACCTCAAGAATCTCCACTGTTAGAAGACACAGCAGGCTGGAAAAAGGCTTGGTGGGTGCTATGATGATCTGTGAATTGTGGAGTTTAGTAGTAGTGCTGTAATTACTTATAGCTCTAAGCAGTGTGTATAAGTGGTCGATAAATCCATTCACCAATCCATACCCCATCTGTAGTCACACTCCCAAATACATGAAAATACTATTAGCATCTTCACCTCTAGCCTGAAGATATTCCTCTAAAACATTGATACCCATCTATTGGACTGAAATGTGGTGTCATAATTCAGAAAACCTCAATATAGATCTGCACTCCCATTAATTTTTTTTGAAATCCTACAACTAAGGCAATATGAGAGATGCTACAAGAGAGGAAAGAATAAAATTATAACAGTTATAATTAATTCCTTCAACAATGCAAACAATTCATGGAGCTTAAATAACACAAAATAATAAACAGGATGGAAGAAAACAGGAGGAAATTGAGGAAGCTTTGGAACTCCAGAGACAGATTAAGGTGGTTGGTTGTTACTAGTAGATGACACATATGAAACTGTGAATGTCACATGGAGAAAATGAAGAATGAGAAAAAGAAGGAAAATGAGGAGAAGAAGCAGCAGCAGCAAAGAGGGAGGAAGAGAAACTATGCCAAAAATAAATAACCAATTACAAACTTTATTTTGAAAAGGTTTTTCAGATAGGCCTATATAAATTTCCATAAATATGGAAGTTAGTATATTATATCTAGAACTGAGGTTTTATCTGCTAGTTAATGAGAATGGTGGCTCTATTGAAGAATAACATCTTTGTAATACACTCACAGTTGTTAAGATTAAAAAAACAACATTCTTACGTCTGGACTGTCATCCTCTTTCTTTATTGAGAAAACATTGACAAATTTTGCCAGATGTTCAAAGTGTTTTGTCATCTCTGTTGCTAGAATCATGTCGATAACATTCTGACGAACAGCCTTGTATACATCTCGTTCCAGAGCTAAAACCAAAAGAATAAGCATGAAATTTTAAACGTATAATTGAACAGAAATACAAAATCTTTCAGTTCAAAGCGTATTATTCAAAAATAAAACTATGCTACTTTAATATCTTAATATTATTTTCCTTAGGGTCTTGTAGGATGTGCCTAATGAATAACTTGGTCTCAGGATTTAACTGTGTCATATGTTGAAGCTGTTCCACTGCTTTGGCATACACTGCAGCTGCCATATGCAGGGTGGGTAAGTTGGACGGAAGAAGTGCCCAAACATATAGTGCAATTAGGCATGAAGCACGAACTATGCAATGGGTATACACCATGTCCTGATATGTAGGTTTACCAGTGAGAGAAGGCTGGAGATGTGGAGTGATGGTGCCAGCCAATGGGAAGGGGCCGTGTAGTGAACAGACAGCACTGGAGGAAAATAACTGAAGCCAGACTAAATTCACTTCTATCCATCTTCATCAAGTTTTGGGCATATCTGATTATTTTGACAGCTCCCCTAATGAACGAAGGGATTATAAGTGTGGTTGTTTCCTATGATCCACCATACTGAATTCTGAAGTGAAGTGTTTGGCTATTACTGATCACTGGTTCTCTAAACTGGTGTCTTTTGTATGTTCAAAACAACCTCTATTCTTCTGCTTCATTCATTCTGCAGATGTATGACAAAACACTAAAACAAGTTGATTAAACCCCAAATCCAAAGTTATATAATATTTCAGTAACTTATTTAATTTATATTCCTTAGTGCAATGTGTGTCTCATTAAATAAAGAATAAATAAACTCCCAGTTATCTAGTATCATGTAACTGGCAAAAATTTAAAAAAGATAATTTTATAAAGTTACTTCAACAATAAAGTTGCAACATGGATATATTCATCAGCCATGCAGCACTCCTCCCAGCCACTACTGACAGTGCTGGCCATCATCCTCCTTCACAAAGGTGTCATTACAGTAGAAGATTGTTGAAATTGTAATTGCATTATAGTTTATCTGAATTCTTTCATCCATAAACCTCCTGTATCTTCTAAGACAAAATTCACATAAGAACTAAAGCAAAAATGTGTTGTTTTGACTTTGAAATAGAATATGGAGATGTTAATAGACTGGAAAGGGATAAAAATTAGGTGAAAATTGCATTGTATTAAGAGTTTTACTTATGCAACAGACAGATCCTTGTAAATGGTCCACCACAATCCTCACACTTCCTAGGTAACACATACTTTGCTACATAGATCCAAAAAACAGAAACATCAACTGTCAGAATGTTACATTAATCAGAATAAATACAAACTGATCCTTTGATTCACAGAGTTTCTTCCAATCTGCCAGACACTAACAAGTGACATTTTTTTAATTCCAATACCATAATCAAATTCAGTCCACAATGCACAATAATCATTATCTTTATCTTATTACTGAAAATGTATATGATTTACACAAACACTTCAACTTCCTTTGTACTGTCACATTTTCTGGAATTGTCAATATCCCCAATTTAATATCATCCAATTCCTAACTGGAAAACCCAAAATTTGCATATTAGTCTCACCAAATAAGAAAAGATGGAATCAAACAAATGCAAATATACAGTACATGTGCCATAAGCAAAATTTTGTTGGAGAAGGTATGCATACCAATGATATGGTTAATTAATAAACAATTATTTCAAATGGTCATATAAATTAATTTAAATTAATACATCATGATGACTGACAGAATATAAATTCATGAAATATGAATTTAACTCTCAGAAAGCCAATCAGGCAGCTGATGAAGAAATTTTCATTGGGCCTGCTATGATGCAATGTTGTTAGTTCTCCAGCCAACATAATTTATATAGGTTTGGTTAAGAAATAGTGCACCTTGCAAATGTTCAAGTTTCAACACTTTCTAATTCTCAAGTTCAGCAAAATGTTTTTTTTTCTCCTAAATGTCCTTCAGTGTTAAGAAGCAGCTTCCAAATTCTTGTGCATGATGTTGCACTGGGATTGGAAATAACAGAGTTCGAAAGGTTTAAATCCTCATTTATGATCCAGAAACTTGTTGCAGTAATATGATTTCCCTATGACATGTAGGGCTTCAAAATTTCTTATGCTTTATTTTACTATTGCAAAAAAGTGAACTGAAAGTTTCCATTAATTTCTATAACATTAGTTGTCAGGATAGTTACATAAATTCTCAAACTGAACAACATCTGAAAGTGTACCTTACATTTAAAAATGTTGACTCGATCATCTGATATTGTCAACTTGAAGGCTAGGGCCGAGTGATGGGACTCCAACACACACAAGTCATTATAGAGTATGGACAGCTCATGGTTCGAATTACAAAGAAAAGCACTAGAACAGATACAAGTACACACATATTATCTTCTCTATCAAATATCACAAAACCATAAATATATGAGTATCATCATTCCAATGATCAGGTTGTGAATATGTTGCATAGGTGAATCATACACGTATATCCTGAATTATACCATTAGGTTGATGTTATGTCCACACTGAAAATACAGTAAAATCACCATTTAACATTTCTTTGGAGAACAGTGGATTTGAAAACAACTGAGGAAAATCACACACTTAAATTATTTGCTTGGGATCACTGAAATTCAAAGTTAAATGACAGAAAGTATTAAATCATGGAACACTGAATGATGGTTCCAGTGTTATACTGCACTTGTATTCATGTATTTCTTCATAATGCTATGTCAGTGTTACAATAAGAAGCTCCAGAAAGACATGTAACTCTTGCTTCTCACATTGTTCCATATGAGAGGGAGGTTGACATAGAATTATATATAAATAATTATAGAGCTCAGTTAAGTGCCTTTGTACATATTATCTATTGTGCTAACAATGCATTATTGTCCCAGTCTTTTGAAATGGATAATGTATACATACTTTTCAAATTGCTTTTAAGACACAGTGGCCAGTACTTTGGTCTCATTATAAGACATTGCCAGACACTAACAGGGGTTGAATATATAGAAAAAGAGGTATTACATTCTTAATTTAATAAAAAATCTGAGGTCTTAATTGAGATAAGCTGTGTGGATTGTGCAGCTTATGCACTACAGCGCTTTTTTGCTATATATGTGCCAAACTGGAGAAGCAGACTTATTCATTGACTATTTGTGGCAAAGAATTGTACTGTTTCATATGTGCAGCCATGAAAAATTATACAGACACAGAATACAATCATTATTTACTGCAGGTCATATTGTTGCCATTCTGCATGGGCTAATGAGTATATATGAATAGTTAATCAAACAGGAAGCAGAAGGAAATATTTGTGACCTTAGAAGATACTAACTTAACATTTACCAGAAGTGACTGAGGACTTTAGAAAGACAACAACTGGACTCAGGAACTGAAATCTGAAGCTCCAAAATTCAAGAAAGTAAAAGTGATAATCTCTGTACCTTAACACTGGAGTGTAACTGATTCTTTGTACCAACCTTGACTTTCCAGGATGATCTACATCATGAGCAGCAGCAGCTATAAGACACACTGCTTCATCCAGTGGATCAAGAATCTGCTTCAGGCGTTCCCGCTCCAGGAAGCCAGCAGTGGCCTGCATGACATCAGCTGCATGGGTTGAAGTGTGATATGTATTCTTGGCATTATAGTTCTCTTCGATGACAACAAGCCAATTGTGCAAAACATTCTCCTCACATCCCAACGATGAGCAAACATCAAAATGGTCCATTAGATTCATTCCAAGATAAACAAGTGGTCTGCAATTAAATAAAAGTAAAAGTAAAGGTGATGGTACCTGTGCATCAGCACTACACCATGAAAACGCAGAGGAAACTGCCCACATTTGCTTGCTTCATATGTATCTGCAATCAGCTCTGTAGTCTTTTGTACAACAACCACAATTAAGTCATACCTTTTAACAGATAGTTCCTCAAGTCTGAATATGTCAAAATCCCATAATAGAGATGTATCCAAAAGCTCTTTCATCTGATGCGACATGTTGGCCGTCTTGAAGGTACTCCTGGACAACCCAATTTTTGAAACAGATCCTGAGTCACTGGAACTACGCCGAGCAATGGGAGTCACAGATGGACCGCTCTGTCAGAAACCATTATTGTTTGTAACTATGGCTTGGAAATCATTGTATATTTCACTTTTTGTTCTGTCAGTAAGGCCTGTTCATTTTTACAACTAAATCACCACAGGTACAGTTCATTGTGATTAATAAGCTGTTCTGCTTACCGACAGTAAAGCTCCTATCAAATCGTTTGTGACTGGGTCTCCTGCCTTGCCTTTGTCGTCCTTTAGTTGTGGTGAATATAGCTCTGTGGTGCGAAGAATATCTACTACCTGTTGGATTTCAATGGAGAATAAAATATATTAGTATTTATGTGATGGGATTTATGGAAAATAAAACAACCCTAAGTTAGGTGAACTTGAGGCCTCTGGTATTGAAACTGAAGCCTGGCCCATTTCATGAACTACTGTATTTCTACTCTAGGAAACACTAAATCACAGGTTATATTGTCTCCCTGTGTACCATATAACAAAGGTGTAGAGAGGGAATGAGGATAAAAAATCCTTGTATTCTTAGCCCTTAACATTAAGTGCTCAGCTCTGTGCTCTGGCCACTATTCTCCATGGGACACAGCCTCCCACATCCATTTCAGATAGGGCATATTTGGCCTGAACTTGTTAGCAACAGGAAAACCTTACCCTTTATGGGAAATAAGGTCTATTCTTCCAGCCCACACCCAATCACTTACTGACTTAGCTAACCAAGACACTGTGCTGCAGACATTTTAATATTTGTCCATGATATGTATGCAGTGTCCGTCTTTTAGTGCACTCAATTTCACTTGTTATTTCACAACATGTTTCGGCACTATAGTGCCACCATCAGGTGCTCCATTTACACTAATCTATTTCATAACAAGTGAAACTGAGTGCACTAAAAGACAGACACTGCATATATATCATGGATGAAAATCAGTGCAACAGGACGCTAAAATACAACATTTTAATATTTTACAAAAAAAAATCTGACATGGAATAATGGACCCATTAAACAAAATTACATGTTAAATATATAGTCTCTCATACTGCTAATTTTTTGCACTTGTATTCTGAATATCTGAAAGCCTGAGATAATGCTATAACATTGAAACATGCTACCCACTTTGTAAAATTTGTGAAGAATATAAGTTGTGTGTGTGTGCATTTATATTATTTCAACTGAAGATAATTGATCCAAAATCTAAATCAAGAGTTAAATAAATTTACACAAATTTTTTAGGTTCCCTCTCATTTACTGAATAAGTATGACTTCTGAGACACACTGCAGGGCATGAAAGCTCAGCTAATCTGAAGGTTTCTAACATTACAAAACACAGAGAGCATTACACATCCATGCATGATATTCAAACACATGATTCAAGACATTTATGTCAAGCCATCAGAATCGGTGCAATTGTCAGTTTCTTTTCAATTTCTTACTGTCTTCTTGGTTGTGATGTTTTGTAGTTAATAGAGATGTACCAGTGTTTTGGAGGAACACAACTACTTATATACTAAACTGTATGACACACTCCACAGGCACTGATGCAGGAACTTAAGTTCTTTTCAATGTGTTTTCCNTATACTAAACTGTACGACGCATTCCACAAGAAAGTAATCTTCACAGGCACTGATGCAGGAACTTAAGTTCTTTTCAATGTGTTTTCCCACTCTTCCCACTTTTCCTCAGTCCTGAGGACCACTTCCCAGTACACTTTATCTGCCTGATGGTCCACACATGACACAATCCCCACCAAGGTGTTTATGGTGATGAGCAATACAGCTGGTGGTGGCAAAATGCACAAAAATACATGTGATTTGGGACAGAGACAGAAACCAAAATCACAACACTACTAAAATATATAACTAGACCATATATTCAACATATCCTCATTCTGTTGCCTTGGGTTCTGAATACACTACAATCATTTTCTCTCTTTATGCAGAATACTGTTCAATGAGCCATGAATGAAAGTGTATGTACCTTGTCTAAAGTCTGAATGTCTTCGATATTTGCATTGTCTTGCACAGAAGTAATGAGGGCTATTACTTTGGTAATCGGTGCTTCAATTGAGAGATTATGCAGTTTTGCTATGCTTTGCCTACGGAGACCTGAAACATAAGCAAAGGCAGAAGGATACAAATTTTACATTTATTAAAGTAAACAAAACTATAATTTGACCTGTTGCCTTGTATGGGTGTTAAATTTGGTTTCTCACATTAAAAGAAGAACAATGGCTGAAGCAGTCTGAGAGCAGGTGCTGAGAAGAATATTTGGGTCTAAGACGTGATACAACACTGGAGGAATTTCCACAATGAAATTTTCATAATTTGTGCAATGGCTGAGGAAAGTAGTATGGATGGGAGATGTGAGAAATGAATGCATCATTTTAGTGGAAAACCTGGAAGAGAGCACCTGAAAGACCTAGTCATAGATGGGAGTGTGATTTTAAAATTGTTAAAAAAAAATTGGGAAGGAGAGAACTTGATTCATTTCCTGAGGACAGGGACCAGTGGCAGTCCTTGCAAACATGGTAATCAACCTTTGGGTTTCATAAAGTACAGGGACTTTCCTGGCTGTCTGAGTAACCATCAGCTTCTCAAGGATGATTCTGCTCCATGGAGTTGGTCAATTCCCTCCTAAAATTATACCATGAAGTCAGAAGGATAAAATAAACATTACATATCTAAGTGATTAACATAATCAATTCCAAAGAACCTGTGACACAACAAATATAACTCAAAAAGAACACCCAAAAATGAATAAGGTAATAGAGAAATGTGTTCTGCCATATTGAATGGAGGTTCAGGCAAAAAAATAAAATAACATAACAAGGAATGAACCTCCTGGAATGATTTTTTCAGATCAGGATCAGAAGTTAAAAAGAGGAGTGACGATATTAGAACATAATTATAAATTAAGGATGTCAGAGGCAGAATTTTTTACAAAGAAATTAATGATGGGAATGTGGGAAAAAGTCAGAAGATAATTCTGAATCATGATCCATGAGGAAAAATTAATTTTTCGAAGCAAGTAAAAGGATAGACCCTTTAAATGGGATGCTGATTTAGCTGTCCAATGGCTTCAATTAATTAGGCCTGGTATAATGAAAACATGGCTGTGGCATAAATGAAAGATCTAATTATGACTCACATCTTGTCATAGACATTTTCCTTAGTGTGGTGTATATTTAATTCAGTACAAGGAAAAATGCTCTGTTTGTTCATTACCTCTCTTAATAACAGATTTCTAGATATACTAAAGAAACACAAAGACCAGCAAAGATGAAAGACAGTTGCAGTATGTGGAATCAAGAAAGGTACAACTGTGATGCACATATGCTCTCTAAATAAGGCATGCCATGTACTGTAAATCAAATAAACTAGATGCCTGGAACTATGACAATGCCTTCAATGGTGCACCCTTAAAAGATATCATTAAACTAATAAAAAAAAGAAAGTAAAGCTATCCCTGCAAGAGGCCGTGAAGGCCCATAGAGTTGTGAGACGTTGAGGGTCCCACATTATCTAGACAATTGGCTCAAAGATGGCAGTAAGGTTGTCAGCCTTTCGTGCCAGCCACACTTTACTCTCCAGGAAAATTATTTAATTAATTCCTGGTACTCATTTCTGTTAGAGGCTGAGTCGACCCCAGGGCCATAGTGCAGCTAGAAGGATTAGGTCAATTGAAAAAATTCAATGACATCATCAGGACTTGAACCTGCAACCTTCCAGCTTGTACCATAGCCCCTGAACCAACTACGCTACCGTGTGCCCCCATTAAACTAATAACGTTCTTTAAATACTGAGTTTGGTGTAAATACTGCATAAGCTACAACTTATACATTTCATCAATACATACAACTTTTATTCAAGATATTTTTCTCCTAACTGAATACTTAGCAACATATGCCCAACCATGTACAGGAATAATACAAAGCAAATCATTTACTGTGAATGAAAGTTATACACTGTGATACAAGTTCTCCAGACAGCCTTTCTGTGAACTTGCATCGTATAAGTTGGCCTGACTTGATGGCAGGAGTGCCCAACTCCTCTGTCAACGCGTGCTTGTGAAGAATCCCTCTATACACATTTAATGTGACTCACTGCTGGTTCAGTAACATTTGTCAGTGACCTCAAATTATCCATCTAGATGCCAGCACTTGCACCTATATGAGTATATTACCCAGGTGCCCCACACTTTCTGTTCCCACTTTCTCCTCTGTTTTTTTACATTAATTCATATGATACTCAAGAAAATTATGTCATGGAAGATATAATCCAAATCTTTCTTCTACTGTGGTGCTCTTACTTACAGATGAATGAAAGAAGCTGGCAAACATAACAAAATAGTAACATTTTTACACTTCCTTTGAAATGTACCTAAAGCATGAATATGCAAACTTGGGTAGGGCCTATAACTACGACCTCCTTACTGATGTAACAGTAACTTACCATCACTTGAAATAGACTTCATGTCAGCTGACCCCTTCCTATTATTTGATCCCTTTGGAAGTTCAGGATTTTTTACCAGTGTACCAGACATCCTCTTATCAAGCATCATGTGCTGGGATTCGTGTATAAAGATGTAATGCGTTGGTGACCTGAAATGTGACACACCTGTCCCATGAGACATATTTCACCTGACTATCTGACTTTTCTAATATTTGTAGGCATTCTTTACAAAGTGAAAAAGAGCACCTCATGTCAGTCTAGTTGTCCACCTGTGGCCAGCCATATTCAATCCAAAATAAGCTCACTCTTAGGCCATAAATGGAATTTCTCATGTATATCATAACTATTAATAAAACTTTAGTGAAATTTAATTTAAGCGAGATTTGCATAACTTTAGTCAGCCATTTTAAGTTTTAGCCACATACAGCTCAGTTAGTATGGTGGTGGGCTATAGGCCAGATGGCCAAGGAATTTGGTTCTATTCTGGGCAGGAGTAAGACATATATCTCTTCGCCACAGTCTTCAAACTGGTTCAGAAACCCACCGAACATCCCATCCAGTGGGTACACCTACTGCCAGGGTTAAGAGTGGTTGAAGTATACCTCCACTCCCTCGTCCACTTCATGGAATGGTGTTTAATTAATTAAGAACAATAATATTTACCTTGAATGATTACAATATCTGGACTTCTCCATATACCCTATAAACCGTTTCACAGACTTTGTTGATATCTGATATAGTGAATTACTGTGTTGTTCAAATAAGTATTTTGTTGTTTTATTCATTATGTATAATGCTTTGCTGAAATGTCATTTTCAGAAAGGATGCAGCGAAACTTAATAAATTGCGAAGAATGTTGTTGGTAGTTTTGTGTACTATATTAAGGTGTACAACATCTACAGTTTTGTTTGCCAGTTATAGCCAGGTCCAGCCCCAGTGCCTGCACTTCACAAACGATTCTGAACCCTTTCAGAAACGGGTTCAAATACTATTCAGTGGATGAATGTGAGTCCACAATTTTCTTTGTTGTTGTTGTAATCAGACTGGAAAGGAGTGAGGTAACCAGTGTTGTTTAACAAACAACTCTCACCTGCCTGGGCTACAAACTGGAATAACCCGTCCACTGAGTACTACAGAATCACCCATCTTTCGCCTCCAGGATATGAGTCCTTCCCATTCCCGTCCACGCTGAAGTTGCTGGACCATCAACTCTTTATTATCCACAGAGTTCGTTTCCAAGAGCGACTTTCCAGCAACATCCTTCATGCTGAATCCCAGGAAACGCTCACTTGAACGATTCATATACTGCAAACACAAAAAGCCAGTGCTTGCATTCAGTATATAACAACCTGTCAGGTTCAAAACTGCTGAACCAAAGCTTGGAAATGGACACAGTCCATCCACTTCTAATACTCATGACCTAATATACATAGGTCATTATTCTCCCACCACTTTATCTGCTTTCCAAGTGGCCGCCTTGCAAAATGCAAACTAACCAACTAGTTCTGTAGTAATACAGCCCATTAATACTGAAGCCCTACCACAGAACAAGAGATTGCTCTAGTTCCATCCAACTCACATCCTCACAAACAAGCTACTTGAGGTTCCAGGCACACTAAATGAAAGAAGTCCACTGATGATGAATTTCATCTGACTCAAAAAGATGCAGTAAATGACAGAGCCATTTGTCTGGCACAGAATTCATGTCTACCTTGTCACACTACATGAGTGAAGATGAGACGAGTGAAGCCAAACATCTGTCTTTGCAGCGTCTTGGTGAGTCAGATGTGATTCAACTTGACTGGATAGAACTTCAGCTTTGTGGATTTATCTACAATGTAAGTTGGATCTCTTCTAATGGTTTGATGCACACTGCAGTTGCCATCATCAGAGTGAATGGGGTGGGAAGAAGTGGCCTAATATATAGGTTTCACAATAGCAGTCCTACTGCAACCGTTTTCTGCACCTCCAACATTACTCCCAGTGCAAGACATATACATCAGTCCGCTTATTCCATCTGTCTTGTTCACCCTGACTGCAGTGTATACTGCAATGGTGCAACAGTTTCAAAATCCAAAGCAGCTAACCCACAAAAGCCAATGTCTAATCAGGCCATGAATGGGAGGGGGAGGATGAGGGGAATGAGGATGGGGAGCTGCTTAAGGAATATCTTAATTTTATCCTCCCATTTCTTTCTTAGTTCTCAAGTGGTTGTACCAAATGATGTATGCATGTCATGAAGTTTGTCATGCATAATATAGCAAAAGTTGCAATATCCAGCACTGGATGATCATGAAAGCTCTCTTAACCTGAAATTGAATGATGATGATTAAAAGAGTAAAATATCGATGTCTTGTAGGTATTTTGTCTAGATAATGTGGGACCCTCAATGTCTCACAACCCTATGGGCCTTCACGGCCTGGTACAAGGATAGCTTTACTTCTTTTACTTGTACCATGTTCTAAAAATAATTATGAAAAGGGAACAGAAAGTGCGGCAGGGAAAACAGCAGAGGATATCAAGTAACAAATTAAATGGTTAGGCTTGTCCATAAGGCTGCTAAGGTATCCTATGCTACACATCACATATAAAGATCTAGTACGTGGAAAATTATGATATCTGGAAACCCTTTGTTCCTGGAGGTGCTGGCTAACACAACTGTATCACACATTTCACATTTACTTGATCACTGTCATATTGAAACATCTTCTACAGCACTCTATTTTCAAACAGCTACGACATTCACTGCATAATAACAATACAATATCCAGAGATAATCCTCATACCGAAGTATTAACTAGCTACATAGTACATGATCTTTGAAATACTGGTAGTTACTCACCTGGTCAATAACCCAAAGATTCATCGCCTTAAAAGTGCATTATGTTGACAATCACCATAAGGGGCAAAGTGGGGGGGGGGAAATCCTACTAAATTCGGTTCTGTTAACCCTTCAAAGCCCAGTGGTTACTACATTTACCACCGACTTTAATGTACTAAGACTTTATATTCTATCCACAACATGTATTTGTGTAAATAAGATCTAAAGGTTTGTGCTGTTGGTACCTTAGTACATATATTAAATTTGTGGGCATTATCCATCCTGCTGTCTTTATCTAAAAATACCATTCTGTTTATTTTTCAAAACAGGACAGTGTTTTTTATAATAGGCAGGACAATGTATAATAATATCCAAAAACATAATATTTGTATTGTGTATTTGTGTGTTTGGTGTGATTCTCACAATAAACAGCAATTCTTTCCCTAAACAGCAATAACTGGCTGATCTGTGAAATGGAGGCGTAATGTGTTTCCTTAGAAATACAAACTACATTTTTATGTATTATTTAGAAGAAATTCAGTCTTTAAAGGTTTAAGAAGAGCTATTTTTGATCGCTGGATGATCAAATGATCAAGATCAGCTCCTCCTTGTAGGCCAAACAGAATATGAGCTTTTCCACCATTTGCATATGACAGAAAGAGGTCCAGTTTCTGGAAATCTGCATAAGTGGACAGTGGAAAATGTCCAACAAGACATTCAAACTGATCATTATTACATATTTAAAGAACTTTTCATTGACTTATTCACAAAGACTGCAATCAGATCCAATTCCAAGCCAGTTAAATCCAGTTAGCAACTATGACACTAGATGTTCCACTTATTAGCTACAAACTAGGTGGTGCTTTCTGCTATAGCTTTCAAGATGTAATGAATAAAACCAGGCTGATCTTAATAACAATGATTAAAGCTTATCTCTGACAAAGTTTCCACTCAAAAAGTGGTACTTAAAACTCATGGGCAGAACACATTTCAGGTCTCTGCAAAGATAGTTTCTGTTTTGTATACCCAAACAGGTAAAATCAGGTACAATAATGGAAAGAATATTAAGGGCAATGGTTGTTGCTTTTGTTGTTTGTTGTTGATGGCTTTGTCGTCGTCTGGGGCGGCAGCGGCGATTACAACGACAATGACAACAAGGAAAGAAAGAGACGATATGAAGTGAATCTAGCTGGCTAAGGGTATGGTCCAGTGACTGGATTTGTACCCAAAATAGAATCTGAATAAGGTGAATAACCAGCAAGTTGTCCAAGATGACCCAGCATCGCGGAGTTAATTTCTGTTTCTTGTGAAACAGCTGTTTCCTCACGGCTGTAAGTATTCAGATTATGGTCTTCTGGAATGTGATGCCGTGTACTCTGATAAGCAGGTGCCAACGTCCTGAACGAATATGCTGTGTAAAGCTGGTTCCTCTGAAACACTGCAACTACATGGCTCCACATTCCAGAGGGCCCTAATCTGAATTACTTCATTAGTTAAAGCGAAAACCTGCTGAATGTCATGAGATACCTCATTTTGTGGTATGACACTCTAGAATTCTTTATAAAATTACGTTTGTGTGCCACAGTTACTTTTGACAGTTCTTCATATATGGCTCCAAAATTTAAAGGTGTCATAAAACTGGTAGGTTTATACTAATTCGAAGTTTCAAGTTCTCATGGCAGTGATCATGCGACTGTATGTGGTCCCGTTTAGTTTGGTAGATCGTTACCAACGTTTAGGATAAACTTGCTGCCTCCATCTTCCCTGGAGGGAGCAGGTTCCTCCAAAACGCTGGTAACGATCTACCAGGCTACACAGGGTTACATCACAGTAGCAAATTATTACTTGGTGGGGTGGGATTGAGTCCACTTGCTACTGCGGCCACTTCTGGCCTGTTGTACCAGCCCCAGATGATAGGTGAGGGTGATTGTGGAGCAATTGGTGGAATGAAGATTGGCAGGGGAAATCGAAGTACTCGGAGAAAATCTGCCCCAGCGCCACTTTGTCCATCACAAATCCCACTTGACCAGACCCGAGATCGAACCCGGGCCGCCGCGGTGGGAAGCCAGCGACTAACCGCTTCAGCTATGGCGCGGCCCTATTAGTTAGTAGCAAACAACCGTCCACTCACTGTGAACTACACTTTAAATTCATACTGTGAACCTTCTGGGTTACTTCACCGTGCTGTAATATGGTAGGTGGGTGGGAAGTTTTCGGAGGAGCATACTGCATTTATCTTCAGGGTATACTAGAATGTTCCTGTCGGTACCCACATTCCAGACTATGTCAAACTGTCACAACCGAGACGATCACAGCATGAATATTCACGGCTGGGAGATCCTCAAATTGTACTCCTATATACAGTTTGGCCGGTCACTGTAGCCGAGCGGTCTAAGGCATGTACTGTCTTCGCTCGCTCGGAAACCGGGATCGTGGGTTCGAATCCCACTCAGGGCATGGATGTTTAGTTTCTGTGTGTGCGTTTTTCTGTGTTTGTGTACAGGTAGAGACCTTGCGACGAGCTGATCACCCACCCAAGGAGTCCTACCGAATGTGTAAGATCTAGAGAACCCGAAGTGAACGGAGAACTTCATGGAGGTAGGCCTAGGCCCACTGTGGCTGTAGTTCCAAGGAAAGAAAAATATATAGACTTTGACCTACTGTAGCTCAGTGCCTTGTCCATAATTATAGCCATCCTACAGGCAAAGTGAACGGCGTATAGGCAGTTACCTCGTCTTTGAGGACACTGGGTATTCCATTATAGTCCGATAGCAGACATACATTCTGTAATCAAGCTTCTGTAAGTTTCGACAGCAGTGCGTAATGATCACTCATTAACTGCGTTGATAAAAATTGGCCGCGCCATAGCTCAAGCGGTTAGTCGCTGGCTTCCCACCGCGGCGGCCCGGGTTCGATCCCGGGTCTGATCAAGTGGGATTTTTGGTGGACAAAATGGCGCTGGGAAAGGTTTTCTCCGAGTACTTCGGTTTCCCCTGTAAATCTTCATTCCACCATTTGCTCCACAATCACCCTCACCTATCATCTGGGGCTGGTACAATAGACCAGAAGTTGCCACAGTGCAAGTGACTTAGTCCCACCCCACTAGCAATAACAAAACTGCTTTGATATGTAAGCCGTTTCGTGCAGCAACACTGTATCAGAAGTTTCAAGGCTAATAATTATATCAGAATACTGACGTGGGTATGTTTCAGCTCGAATCTTATCTACTGTATCTGTTTGTTTCTCAGAATGTTTACAAAACTCAGTTTCATAAATCAAACGAGAAATGGGAGAACGAAGCGGGCTATTTAAATATTAAACTGCCGTCAGCCGGTCGCGTGGGCAGCTGTAACATATCTGATTTATATCCTAGATATTCCAGGTTCAGATCTTGAGTGGGCTATATACTATCATCTCTGGGGTTTTCATGGTCTTCCTCGGTCCCTCAAGGCGAATCCTAGAAGGACACATTGAAATAGGTCGTGGCTATTTCGAAATCTTACACACTTACCACCCATGTTCATCGCATTACCTCACACGACGCTACATAACCTATGCAGTTGAAACAGCATAGTTAAATAGCCTAAGAATCAATCAATAAGATCTCGGATGGATCGCCAGCTTTTTAACTTAAGGGCTCCCATAACTGCGCAGTTCTTGTAGGTAAATTAAGTGATAGCTTTGTCCACCTCATTGCTCAAAATCAAATTCATAATAGAGGAATTGAGTCAATGTTATGGAATCCCAGGAGCTGAGTAACAATAAAAATAGCCATATAAACACCGACAGAAAATGTCATACTGTGATAAGCTGGGACATGAAGGAAAATAAAAGAAAAGGAAGAGACGACTTTCTTTGATATAGATATATACAAACTATAGCACAGGTGGCATCAGGGCATTTGCAAAGAAATCACTGATGTGTAACCCGCAACTCCATGTGACCTAAGATTTTTTTTTTTAATTTGTCCTGTGATTTAAATTTTTAAAATAAAAGATGTTTCTAAATACATTACAAATGTATTATACAAATGAAAAATGAATACCCTTACATTACCACACATATTCCATACTATTTATTAGTTGTAAATACAACGTAAGACGTCTTCAACAAAATACGTGTTTTATTGTTGTCATTTTGCTTACGTCCTGGGAGGGATTTGCAACCTAAAAAATGTGTCTTCCTGCAATAATTTCTCAGCACTGATCTAGAAGATAAAGAATAAGAACAGTGGTCACTGGCGTCAGACGTGTCAAATATTTACAAAGAATAAATTGTGAACTTGGAACTCGGCCAGCATAGCGACAAGGATTCGATTCCAGGCAGGGCAAGAAATTTTTCTCTTTTCCATAACATCCAGACGGGCTCTAGTGCTTACCCAGACTACTATTCAATGAATACCGGGGATCTTCTCCCGGAGATAAATTGGCTGGCTGCTGAGGTTGTCAGTGGTGGAGCTATACCTCCAGTTCCCATGCGTCTTCATAGCGTGGTGCTTAATTAATGAAGAACAGGGGCAACTTCGCCATAAATTATGAAATTACATCTTAGAGAGAAGTTAAATATAAAAGACAGAAATTGGCGTATTTTGCAAGGCCAAGAACGAGAGAACCTGAAGAGGTTCGTGACGTAACATGAAGGGACGGTGGAAAGAACAGAGACGCAGAGACGCGTCTTAGATGTAAAGGAGCGTCCACATTACTCGTGCTCGTGTGACTCGCTATGCTCGCGAGTAATGTGGACGATATGACAAGTCACGAGACAAGCAAATTTTAAATTTTTAATTTAAAAACTATAGCCAATAAATTAAAATACGACTACAGCCTATACACACTACGAGTAAATATACGGATCTTCACGCGCCGAAGCCTGGCAAGCAACTGAAGCAGTGTGGACGAAGATTTACGAGCACAAGTAAAGGCCAGACGAGTCTCCCGACGAGCACGAGCACGAGCACGAGTAATGTGGACGCGCCTTAAGGCGATCTCTGAATGTATGTGCTGCGCTTCTGCGTTGGAAACCCATTTCACGAATTTCCTTCCTCATCTTAATCATATTTCATTTCAAAAGCGGCTGAAAAGCCTAGCACAAAGTATTTCATCATGTGGTGAATCATAAATCCATGAAATAGGAGGGATTCTGTATTCGACTGGTTAGAAAATGGAGACTGGCAATGTGTCAATAGAATAATAGGGTGTGGGAGACAAATCCGAAGCGATCTCTACCCCCTTCCCCCTCCCCCTTTGAAAGAACAACAAAAATGTAGGAGTCGTGATATAGATGAATTCTAATAGAAAATATACAGAAACAGAGCTTCATTTTAAATCAACAAATTCTAACTGTGCTACGTGCATTTAAGGATTCTGATGAATTACCCAATATGCATACAACAGTCTTATAATTGTAAAAACGTAATGGCAAGCCTGAACTACAATCAAATTATGTTCCACGGTTCTATTGTTTCATTTAAGTCAGTTAAGTCAGTGGCGGCGTCGGTTCGATAGCAAACAGAGGCAGAGTTTTCTCTCTTGGTCACCGTGCACAAAATGGCTCTGTGGCACTTTCAGTCTCCCACCAAATTCATACCGAATGCCTACGGAACAACTGTCATTGCTTTGGATCACAGTACTGCGTCTTCAATTTTCTGAAATTATTTCTGGGATATTCTGTATAAGCCTAAGGTTTAAAATTCTGTCTTCATTCTGTTCTTATATAGCCAGGCGACAGTGAGCGGTGCATATGCTTCAGTCGGCATTGCAGCCTCAATGTTTGCCGAAATCAATGCTAGTCAGTGAAGTTGTGATTTACATACATATGATATAATAAATGGATGGGTTATCTTTGGAAGCTGTTGCTAGAGATAGGGACTGTTTCTTCAGAAGGTTGCACTCATCTGCTGCACTTGAGATAATTCAGAAGTGCTGGCTTCCTATCAGTATGCGGGAAGATTACAAAATGTACAAACAAAGAAACTCCGTGGCTTTAGTCCGCAAGAGAACTATACCGACCGAACGACCGCCGCTTGCCGACGAAGTTAGTGCCAACTTTAGCGGATAGAGTATGTCGCGTGGTCACCGCAACAAATCCACACTGCCGTTAATTTCGGTTTTCTAGACCGGAGTCGCTACTTTTTTTTTTATTCAAGTAGCTCCTCAATTATCCACACGAGGTTGAGTGGACCCCACTCCAGACCCAGTAATTCTCAGAAAATCTGGTAGCGCCGGGAATCGAACCCGGGATCTCTGGATCTGTAAGAAGGAACTCTGACTACTAGACCACAGACAGGATAAAATTTAGTTTGATGACAATGTCGAAACAATGGACATTAGTGAACTGTATAAAAGTGCCTATCAGTTTTATTCTACATATGAGGGCTAAATCACTCAGTCATTCACCCAGGACTGCATCTCGTCAACTAGTAAATGTAAAGAAGTACCTTTACTGCATAATGGTAAACCACAAAATCACCATCATGATGGTTTGCTGCCAGTTGAGAGTGATAGTTCAGATATTTTTGATAAAGTTTGATTTTACACTCAATCTCTGCCTAAGGCACTTCCTCTCAGCGGGATGCATCGCTTGGGCATATTGTTATGGTATTAAATTTAGTTAACTCGTACAAACGCAGGTGTCTTCTTCGAACTTCCCTCATTATTCTACCTACCTGCCTGCCTATCTACCTACCTACCTACTACCTAGCTACCTACCCACCCACCCACCTACGCACCTGCCTACCTATCTACCCGCATACCCACCTACCTATCTACCTACCTATCTATCTACCTATCCATCTATCCATCCATCAATTCATGTTTCTAAAGCCCTTGTGGACCTTGGCCGCTTTTCCAGTTTCTTAACCTATACACAGTCAGTAGAACTCCTTGGAAGGGGATCAGCCCGTCGTAAGTCCGCTATCTACACACGGAATAAAGCACATAGATATTCATGCCTCGAGTGGGATACGACCACACCTGGGGAAAGAACAAGATGACCAGTTCGATATAGGCTACGCAATTCGAACACGCGGAAGAGGACGAATACATAAGATTGACTGAGTACAGCGTACTGAGGAGAATGTTTCAGTCTAAGAGGGGAAAATGGAGAGGGTAGTGGAAAGCTATATAAGTTAAACTTCTCATCAAGCATCACTATAATGGCCAAATGAATGGGAATGAGATGGGTTGGATATGTAGCATGAGAGGGGAGATGATAAGTTGATACAAATGTTTAATCAGAAAATTTGAAGGGGAGAAACCACTTCGAGGATATTGGTGCTGATTAGATGATAATATTAAAACGGGCGTTAGAGTAACAGACTGAGTACTGTATTCATTTGCCTCAGAATGGAGTCTAAAGTTTGGCTCCTGAGAACACGGCAATGAACCTTCAGGCGGCTATTTTTGGGGCATCAGAGAGATTATCAGTGTTCCAAGAAATACTTCTCTCTGGAGCCACTTCATTTGTGTAGAGAATGGGAGGCCAAAAGCGAGGTAATTATATAAGTCCCTTGTACAGCAATAGAATGAATATTTTGAAGGGAGGAGAATGGAAAGAACGCCTCTTAGGGAGTAACAGAAAGGTGATGAAATATTCACGAGATATCAGATAGCTGGACAACTTTAGCCGCTTTGAGGATTTTGGATCTTATAAAAGAACCCCTAAAATGAAAAAAAAACTGGTGGTGGTGGTAGTAGTAGTAGTAGTAGTATGGTGGCGGTGGTAGTAATAGTAGCAGCAGTAGAAACGTGGTGATAGTAGTATGGCAGTAGTAGTAACAGCAGCAGTGTGGTGGTGGCGGCAGCGGCTTCAGTAGTGATGCTGTCAGTATCTCACAGTACGCAGCGCCGAAAAGTAGAATTACGGATAAGCGAATAATAAATGGGAAGGGGTGTGAAACGAGGAAGTTGCTAGGGGGGTTGAAACCCCTCAGTCGGGTTAGTTGATGTGCAGCAAGAGATCAGAACCGTATATTTTCCGAGTTCAATTCACAAGTCTTACTGCCTGAGCCAACCTGCCCGGTCAGAGTCCTCGAGGCGCTCAAAGTCTTTCATCTCATCAAGAAATTCTCAGTCCATCACGAAACCCGAAGTTTCATTGTCATGTTCGTTAAGAAACCGCCACTGCTGTCTACAGTGAGCCCAATGAATGCGGCGCACACCTCCCCCCCCTGCCCCTTCTGAAGAAACACGGATATTACATACAGACATATTTACCTGTATATTGAGATTTTGGTCTGTTATGTGCACTACATCACTGCACTTGTCCAGAGCAATGTGCATTGCCTGCGCCGTGGCCAACTGCAGTCGTGGCTGGACGTCACTCAGGTACAACTGCAGAAGCTCGTTCATGCACTGAACTAGACCGCTTGTCTCCATGATCACCTGCAACACAACGCAACAAACTCACGTGGCGACCGAAATGAAAATCCGACAAACTGACAGCCGCGGTGTAAGAGTTATATCTTTGTATTCAAAAAGGCCGGCTTCAAATCTCGGGCAGGGAACAGTCTACTCCAACATTTTGATTTTAAATTTATTCTATATTGGGAAGGGGGGAAGCTTAGTCAGTCAGCGACGGGCAACAAGCTGGGCGGCCCGGATTCGATTCCCGGCAGTGAAAGATTTTTCTTCTCCACAGCGTCTAGACCGGCTCTAGAGTTCACACCCAGCCTCCTATCCAATGGGTACCGGGCGTTCTTTCCTTGGGAATAAAGAGGCAGGGGCGTGAAGCTGACCACTCACCTCCATCTAGTACCGAGGTCAAAAAATAGTGGATCTATACTTCCACTCCCCCATATGTCTTCATGGCATAGTGCTTAACTAATTAAGCACTGGGACAAACTTATCTTTTTTAGTCTACAATGGTGATATGATGATTTCCGTATATTAAACTTAGTCCTCGTTACGATAATTTCATCATCCTCAAAACAAAGGATCACCATATATTTTCTGTGATTTTTTAATGTATAAGAATATAAGTCAATATTTAAAATACACTGTCCAGTAACTTTGTCTAATTACGGTACATTAAACAAAACTGGAGATACTCTTTTTGTAGGCCTACATTCTTACCGTACTCCATGAGTACCCACCTCTTTTCTACATCGGGCTGCTTCCTCTGTTCATATGCAGAAATGTACGTTATATACAAGGGATAAATTTTACTACTGCTATAAGTTACGTAAACAGGCCTCCATTATTCGTTTTGTTGCAAAACAGCGGTCTACTAATCTTTAGTGACGTCACTCCCTCTAGGCCCCCTAGGCTTATGCTGGGACAGTACTTAGAACAGACAAGGCCGTTTCAATTTCACCAAATGCGAGCCTCCTCTCACGTCATCCCACGTTATACCGTAGCTGCAGTTACATGAAACAACTCTAATATAGGATTCACCCATCCTTAATGTAAGTCTTACATAAAATATTATTAGCAAAGAAATTACGGTGTATTAACTATTCCTGGCATATGAACTCAATTCCACATGTAGGCCCTTGTTTGTTAACATATTTGTGAGTAAATATCCCTAATTCCCAGAAAATTAATTAATTAATTAAGGACAGCTCCATGAAGACGTAGGGAGGAGGGTAAAGGTACAGCTCCACCATTCTTAACCTAGGCACTAGATTGCAGGTGAGTGGTCAGCTTTACACCCTGCCCGCTTTATCGCGGCGAAAGAGCCCCTTGTGTCAATTTGACAGAAGATTGGGTGGGAGTCAGAGACGATCTAGAAGCCGTGAGTTAAGGAAAATCTCTTGTTACTACAGGGAATCGAACCCCCGCCGTCCAGCCCATAGTAGATCGGTTTACCGATTGAACTAGCTCAGCTCCTCATACGTTAATAATATCGGAAGAGAAATGACGGCACTGATATATACTGTGAGTCAGGTTTAGTTTAGTCTGTTCTTCTACGCGGCAGAATTTATGTAAGCTGAAGGAGGTACTGTAGCACGTTGGTGAATTAGGAACCTAAACGACTACTAGAGGACGCTGTCTTGACCTACTTTAAGTCAGCATTCATCTACAGGCATCAAGAAAAACCGCCAAATTTTCAGTTTTCCCGTTGAGATTCGAACCAGTGACCTCCTGAATGGTAACCAGCATGCTGAGTGATCATATGCGAGAAATGTTACTACAATGATTGAAATTAAATGTTACCATTCTTCAAAAGTAACACCAAACATCCAATTAGAAATAAGCCTTACTGCGAGTCACTTGTCTTCTTTTCCATTTATTTTAATGCAATGAGTCTCGAAGCATAAACAAATGCATTCTTCAAAGAACCGTTTAATCTCATTTTAGAATCGCGTGTGTTCTTGCATTCGCTGGGCATACCCCAGCCATAAATAGCATCTTCCCCCCCCCCCCTTCAAAGCTTAAACGTAGCTTCCAATAGCCCAGCTCCCAGTGAGGACACTCC